TTCTTGTAGAGTGTCGTTTGGTTATTATTCGCCGGAGGGATTGTAGTGAAGTTGCTGGCGGCGTCCTTCCAGTGGCTCACTGCGGCGGCACAGTCGGGCTTCTCCGATTCCAAGGCCATGTAGGCGTACGTACCACTTTTAAATCCATTTGCACTTGTGCTCTTTTCTACTTGTTCTTCGTCTTCCTGAAATGAAAAATGCACGGACGAAGAAGTGTGACAGCATGAAGTAGAGAAAGGGGGGCTAATGACAGGGGTCACATTGAAAGACACTTACTGCTGTCAGAGCTTCACAAACAGGATCCCATGCAGTATTGTGGTGTGAATCTTCTTCCACGGTAGCTGAAGGAAACCCTAGATCTGCACTGCTCTCAGTTTTGAAGTGTTCGAGTCCAGCAGCTTCGCGTGCAGCGTTGATTTCGTCGAGGCACACATGTTCATCCCCTGCAGAAAAGCAAACGATGCAGACATGCTAAGTCCAAATGTGCAAATACTGATACTTGCAGACGCGGGTTGGAGCAATTTAATGCGCTTTGAAGGGTTTCTTCGCTTCCAAACCCACTGAACCTCCAGCACAACTCATCGCCTCCAATGCATTTACTTTGGACAACAGGACTGAAACCTTCCCCAGTAAGCAAGTATTTGCCAACGTACCGAGTTCTACAGTGTAGGTTGGCGATGATCCCTGCGGTGCCAATGAACTTTGCTTTGCCGTTTGATGGACAGCGTCCGCCATCAAGAACGCAGACGCAGAGGCGAGCGAAAAGAGTTTAAGGGCAGCCATGTTTTCAGTGTCGAAATTTAATAGGTGAACGAGGAAACCGGAAGAGTGGGGAAAGTTTGGAAGGGCACCAAGCCCAGAGCCAACAATATGTTTTGCAGTCTGTGCAGAAGTGGCGGCGAGGGAGCGGACCACGGCTGGCCTATCCGGTCCGGCGTGGAGTCATCCTGGCTATGCTCTTAGTTGAATTTACAGCCTTGCCGTTGTTAAAACACCTTAATGAGGTATTTCAAGAATTATTGTCTACACGGTGCCCCCTGTCGCCGCTGAATGCCACATGAAACGCCGGCGCAAACTCCTTGCCATTCTGGGTGAATCGGGGACGTGGAGGGCCGAGGTCCCTCGTACTCGATTAATGTTGTTCTGTCCATGTGCAAACACCTTCTAAGGTACGTGAGCCAGTTATGAATCATATTCGAACATATTGTCTTGAAACAGTGGCTCTCCGCCCTTCTGGAGGCAGCCAAGTGCATTGCATGATGCCCCTTCATCGGGGCAAGTTGCCCTGCGTCGATGCTCCCAAGGCTTGTGCGCCCGAATCTAAAAAGGCAAAGCGCTACCGGCAACCAACCTCCTACCAAACACTTCTGCTTCCCGTCTGTACCTAGCTAGCCTAAAAGTGCGAAATGCGGCCTGGCGCTGGACCTACCCCTCTCATCCTCTACACGCACGCATACAGGGAGGTATATGCACGCACAAATGTGCGGAAACACCTGCGCAAGCACGCACCGACGAACAAGGTGCTGGATCGATAAACGGAGAGTCATAATTCCGGTCAATTGAACCAGTAAAAAGGAAG